TTTGCAGGCAGGGAAGTAACGGGCAGAGGGAGCTCCCCACCCCCCCAGCGCCTCTGAGTCATGGAATCAGAATTGAATGGGACCGGGGGCAGGATCCGACACGATTCCCGGGACCCTGGGAGCCGCTTTCCCTCAAGGGCTCGCTCGCTTGAGCAAGATCCCTCGCCCCGAAGGTTTTGCAAGTGGGGTTTTGGGGTGGGACACGTTTCGTAAGCGGCAGAAATCGGGGCTTTTCCAAGGTTTCCAGCTCCGGGGCTGGACATTTGTTGGAGTGGGTCTCCCCGTTGTTGGCTTGGGAAGTTGGGTGTGAAGGTGGTTTTGAGGATCAGAGCAGATGGTTTGAATTTTTATTTTTTTTTTTGCGGGGGGGGGAAATCAAATGGCAAAATCAGATTCTGTTTTTTGGGGGATCTAAATGGTCGCAGGTTTGAAGAGATGAGCTGAGTGGGAGTTGCCTCCTGGCACTATTTCCTGGGACCTTCCCAAGAAATCCTCACCCCTCGTTGCGGGGGAACCCGAGGAATTAGTTAACACGACTTTGAAAGGCAGCAGGCGAATCCCTTTTCCAGAATCACTTCCAATTAAATTAAACAACACCACGAGACTCATAAAACAGCCGGTAAAAAGCTGCTCGGAAGGACTGTCGCTCTGTAGGTTCTCCCCGTCAGGCCCAGGGTTCAAAAGCTCCCTCTGAAGTGGGATTTTTATCACTTTCTTCCGCCCCCCCCTCAGTATTTATCCAACAGTTCCCACGTCGCTGCTGGAAAATGTTTCTAAAACAGCTTTTGCCTCTTGATCTTGGCCCGGGGTGAACCCTCGGGAGGAGCTTGAACCCCCCCGGTGAGTCTGGGTCGTGCTTTGGGACGGGGTAAGAGCCGGGGATCCTTCTCCTGGATCCATGAACAGCTGGATGTGGGACACAAGGAAGATTCCCCCTCGCTGCCACCCAAAACACCTCCCGAAATGTTCCAGTGAACCGGATTCTTCCCACCTTGGCCGGGTGATAAAACAGCGACGGGCTGAGGGGTGAAACCCTGAGCTCCTAAACCAACAACTAACCCTCGAATTCATCTGCACGAGCAACAAAAATCTCTCCAATTCGCCGATGTGAGCAATAAAAAAAAAAAAC